GTCCTTTCGGGGTTCTAAACCATACTTCGCATTTGGGATGCTCCCCCTTATACTAACAGTCCTGAGTAGGGATTCTTATAGGGGTACTATAAGCAGGGGAATCCCAACTTCGCATCGGTATTTACGCGGGTTTGCGCGGTTTACATGACGTTGAAACGAGGATGCATGGTTTTGCTCTACAAGAATCGAGCAGGAGCAAAGTCGGGCTCTTGCTTCGGCATTTGTTTCTTCAGACTCCACCATGCTGTAGGGTTTAGGGTTTAGGGTTTTGGGTTTTGGGTTTTGGGTTTAGGGAGTTGTCTCTGGGAAAATGGCATGCCTCTCCAAGAAACACCCGTGCTCGTCCAGCGGGAGACCTCTGCCAGTGTCGAGCCTTCACGCTAAACCCGGCAAACCCTCGCCTCCGCAGACGCTAAACCCTGAACCTTATATACCCTACACCGTACACCCTACACCCTACAAACCCCAATAGACCCCAAACCCCAAACCCCAAACCCCAAACCCCAAACCCCAAACCCCAAAACCCCAAACCCCAAACCCCAAACCCCAAACCCTAAACCCTAAACCCTAAACCCTAAACCCTAAACCCTAAACCCTAAACCCTAAACCCTAAACCCTAAACCCTAAACCCCAAACCCTAAACCCCAACCAGCCATGGCTCTCCGGCCTCTGCGAAGCCTTGGACGCGCGCTCGGCCCCCGCGGTGTGTCGGCCTTGGCCGCAGCGGTCCGGGAGGTCAGGGATGAGGCGACACGGGGTTTAGGGTTTAGGGTTTAGGGTTTAGGGTTTAGGGTTTAGGGTTTAGGGTTTAGGGTTTAGGGTTTAGGGTTTAGGGTTTAGGGTTTAGGGTTTTTGTTATATAGGTTGAAGGGCTTTTAGGGCTTATGTGGGTTTTAGGTTTGGGGTTTCTAGGGGTCAATGGGTTTAGGGTTGGTGTTGTTTAGGGTTCCTAAACCCTAAACCCTAACCTCCTGACCTCCTAAACTCCTAAACTCCTAAACTCCTAAACGCCTAAGCTCCTAAACTCCTAAACTCCTAAACTCCTAAACTCCTAAACTCCTAAACCCTAAACCCTAAACCCCAAGCCCTAAACCCTAAAGTTTTTTGGCGCCTTGGGGGCTGGGATTTTGCGATGTTTGCACGCTGAGGGTTTTGGGGTTTGGGGGAGGCCTTGCCTGAGCTGCGCCCGTCGTACCCTCATAAGCCCCATAACCCTAAACCCTAAACCCTAAACCCTAAACCCTAAACCCTAAACTCTGGTGAACCCCTTATGTAAAGGTATATCCTACCTGGGAACTGAGGCTTCTGGACATAAGTTTGCCGCGGAGGGTGTGGCCAATTGACGTTTTAGGGTTTTTAAGGGATTCAGGTTTAGGGTTTAGGGTTTGGGGTTCACGGTGTACAGATTCAGGTTTAGGATGCTCTGACTAACGGTCCATTTGGGGCCCATTTTTCCATCCTTCTCCCCTTGAATGCCTGGCTGAGACTTTACATCCAGAAAGTTGGAACATGGTTTATGGACGATTAGTGCTGGGATTGCCTTTGGAAACCCGCTTAAGGTATCCCTAAACCCTAAACCCTAAACCCTAAACCCTAAACGCATGAGGACAATGATGTTCCAACTTCTGGGGCTTACTGTAGGCGTAACCGTTTGACCCCGTAAGCCCCCAAGCCCTGAGCCTCAAACCGCAGTAGAGTTCCAGGCTGGGTTTAGGGTTTAGGGTTTGGGGTTTAGGGTTTAGGGTTTAGGGTTTGGGGTTTAGGGTTTAGGGTTTCGGGTTCCCTGACTGCTTGATGTTCTTTGTAATTTTTTCGAATCACACCCAGAACCTTCGGATCTGTGACCCAGGCTCCTCATCCATGAACCCTAGATTTTAGGGTTTAGGGTTTAGGGTTAACCCTAAATCCGAAACAGTAAGCTGCGTTATGCCGCATGGCTTGAGGTTCAGGGGATTAGGTTCTTGCCGGAACCTTCCCCAGGGAAAAATCAGTACCTTCCAGTCAACTCCTATTAAAGGCAACTGTTGGGGTCTAGGATTTGTTGCTGAGCCGAAGCCCCAAGCTCTACATCTGGGGTTAGAGTACCCTAGGAGAATCAAAGGCTTTCGTGCAACCAATCACTTCCCTCCTTGCTACATCCTTCAGGCCAAGTTTGGTGCCAGCAGGCATGGTTTTAATACCAAATGCCTTAAAACCTAAAGTCTAAACCTTAAAACCCCGGGACCCTAGAGACCTTATAAACCTTCACTTTCTCCAAGCCCTCCCTGTTCTCCGGATCCGCCATCTGGCAGGTACTGAGCGCCTGCGTCCGTGACCCTCCGCCTGGCGCGGCTTCGGGGAAGCCCCTTGGCTGTTTGGAGGTCTTAAGAGGGTTAAGGGCCTAGATGGCTAAAGGTTTGTAAACCCTAAACCCTAAACCCTAAACCCTAAACCCTAAACCCTTTGGCTGTCTCAAGAGGGTTTAAGGGCCTTGCATATGGCTAAAGGTGTTAAAGGGTTTGGACTCAAAGGCTGCTCAAGGGACTCTCAGCTTCTGGGTCCAAAGGGCTTCAGGGTTGAGGGTTTAGGGTTTAGGGTTTGGGTTTTGGGTTTAAGGGGCCTCAAGGCGGTTTACGCGGGCTAAAGGCGGTTTGAGGGGGTTGTAGGGGGTTTGAGAGCGTTTAAGCGGGCTTGAGGGGGGTTTAAGGGCTTAAGGGCTTATAGGCATCCTTAAGTAGATGGGATATTTGAATCGGGTTTAAGGGGGGTTTAAGGGCTTAAGGGCTTCTGTGCGTAATTTGCAAAGTTCAAGGGGCCTGCGCGGTTTCGGTTGGCGCCGGCTTCTGGTGTGGCGCGGTCTTTCGTATCAGGGGTTGAGGGTTTTGATTGTAGGTCTAGCCCTAAACCCTAAACCCTAAACCCTAAACCCTAAACCCTAAACCCTAAACCCTAAACCCTAAACCCTAAACCCTAAACCCAACATGTGGCAGCACCCAAGGCTGCCAAGCGGACAAGGGAACTGGGAGGAGTTGGAGACCCAGGTGGGCAAGCTCCTCCCCCCGAATTTATTCATACAACAATTGTATCACGTTATTCGCTGTGGGGTAGGGTTTAGGGTTTAGGGTTTTCAGGGTTTTTAGGGTTTTTAGAGGTTTTAGGGGTTTTAGGGTTTTTAGGGTTTTCAGGTTTTAGGGTTTTTAGGGTTTTAAGGTTTTTAGGGTTTTTAGGGGTTTAGAGTTGCGTATCATAAGAATACTGTCAGACGAGATTGCTCTGAATACACGCTTGCGACAACAGGAGAACAGATATTGAAATCATTTTGTTGATGTGAAGAAGATTTTGAACGCGACATGCAAGTGCCATTGTGCGTACACCCGTTTCTGTCGGAGCTATATAATAAACCCTAAACCCTATATATCTGGGTACAACGTATGCGAATACGGTTAAGGTCGGGAGGCAGTGCGATTCGATCTTCTACCAGGATCCAATACATGTTTGCCAACTTGGCAAGGGTTTAGGGTTTAGGGGTTAGGGGTTTAGGGTTTAGGGTTTAGGGTTTAGGGTTTAGCTTCAATAGCTAATTCAAGGCTTGCTAAAGCGAGGATCCCTGCGAAGTTCTAGATCAAGGTAGCGAGAGCAATTGCTCTGGTGGTTCTGAAGCAGCTTAATTGTTTGTGTGCAACCCTAAACCCTAAACCCTAAACCCTAAACCCTAAACCCTAAACCCTAAACCCTAAACCCTAAACCCTAAACCCTAAACCCTATAAACCCTAAACCCTAAACCCTATAAACCCTAAACCCTAAACCCTAAAATACATATTAAGGCCCCTATAGTAGGCTGCCGCAGCTGCAGCCTGGCCCCGACATCCACTGGAGGAGGAGGAGTCCTGCGCTTTGGGCTGTTGGGGGGGGGGGGGGGGGGGGGGGGTAGGGTTCAGGGTTTAGGGTTTAGGGTTTAGTGTTTAGGGTTTAGGGTTTAGGGTTTAGGGTTTAGGGTTTAGGGTTTATAATTAAGAGTTTAGGGTTTAGGGTTTAGGGTTTAGGGTCTTTAGTTTTTAGGGTTTAGGGGTGTGGGGCTTTGGGGTTTAGGCCTTAGGGCTATAGGGTTTCGGGTTGGGGTGCAGGGTTTAGGGCTGTAGGTGGGTCCATGACGTGAGCCAAGAACAAACACTGAACCACCAAAAAGCAAAGTGAAAACCAATGAGGCCCACAAGCCCAACACCCAAACCGTTGGACTGAAGCTCCTTTTCCTCCGTTGACCCAGAACAAGGGTTAAGGGTTTAGGGTTTGTAGGGTTTAGGATTTAGGGCTTAGAGTTTAGGGTTTAGGCTTAGGGTTTGTGCCGGTTGAGGCCATACCTAAGCTTGCTGGTCAGGAGCGCGTGGGCCTCACCACTTTGTTGGCAACACGCGCTGAGGCTACGATTGTTCGGTGCCTTGAGGTCTGAGGTTTGGGGGTTTAGGGTTTAGGGTGCAGCGTTTAGGGGGTCTAGGGTTTAGGGTCAGGGGTTTGGGGTTCAGAGTTTAAGGGGTTTAGGGTTTAGGGGTTTCGGGTTGGGGTTCAGGGTTGGGGCCTTGGGTTTAGGGTTTCTGCTTCACTGTACTCGAATTTTTGTTGTTGGGGGTGCGGGGGCGGGGTCGGCTGATGGTATCAAGGCTCAGGACCAGCCTTTTGGACATAAGTTTTTCAGGTTTGGAGATTCTCAATCTGTATTGCCTTATAAACCCTAATATATCCCTAAACCCTGAAGCCCTAAAGCCCTAAAGCCCTGAACCCTAAACCCTAAACCCTAATGTTGACTTCACATTAATGATTCCCGCTACAATTGTAAAATCCAGCTGCCGGAACACAATAATGTAACCCCCCACAATTATAATTTCCAACCCGGAAAGCTTTTTTTACGGGCGATGTTATGTTATTCGCTAAAACTTATAAGTTTCAGGGTGTTTGAAGAGAATGAGTTTAGAGCTTGCTGGCTGCAGACACTCTCTTTTGCAGTGGCAGAGGCTCGCAGTAGAGGCTCACTTAGCCCACTGTGGTGGCACCGGGACACCTAGATCGAAGCAGAGCTGCCTCATGTAGAATCGCTCTGCCTTGGCCTTGTCGCAGCTTAGACAGCCCGACTGCCATCTGCATCTAGAGCACACTCCTGGGTTTCCCAGGCCGGCAATCTTAGCAAGGGCACTTTGCGCTTCCTTGCCTAGATCCTTCAGCTCTGGCTCAGCACCTTCATTTAGATACTTGTGTGCTAGAGCTTCCAGGGCCTGTAGCTCTCCTGTCTTCTTTAGAGCTTGCTTGGCTAGAGTCTTGGCTCTAGCAGCATTCTTCTTGAGTGTCTTGTCTCTTTCAGAGACTTCCTGCTCCCTTTCGCTAGAGAGCGAAACGAAAGTAGGCAACTTCACTTTGAGCTCAGAGACCTGCGTGTGCTGGGAACCTCTAGCTTTTGGACCTTCCCCTCTCATAGCAGACAGGAGCTCGATCATGACCACTAGAATCCAGAAGCCACAATCGTCAGAGACTTGCTTCTGCACATTGAAGAGCTCCATCTCAGTAGAGTTCGGAAGCAGCAGATTCTTGAGCAAAGTAGCAGACTTGCGCGCTGCAGAGTCTGCCCCTCATGCAGAGAATCGGCAAAAGTGGCACGAGCAGTAGAGTTCTCCTTGTCGTTCTCCAGGATCAGTAGAGTCCAGTGCGGGGGAGCCTCGGTGTAGACTGGCACGAAGAGCACCGACGAGGCCTGCCACACTCGCTGTAGATGTGCGACCATGTGCTCCTTCTTGTCACTGATCAAGAGGAAGGCACTTAGAACCGGGTCCAACATAGTGATATCTGGAGGCACAAAGAAGCCCTTCTGCTTGAAGTGCCCAGCCAGCAGAGACGTGGTGGTCTAGAAGCATTTTCGGCTTCTTCGCATCCAGCTTCTCAATCGGTTCAGGCCAGGGCTGCTAGAGCCATCTTCTTGAAGTTTTTCTTGACACTCTTCCTCAGTAGAGCCGGCTTCTTTGTCTTTGCCTGGGGCACCATCCGGCTGAGAGCTTGATGCCTAGACATGTCCTTGAGCTTTTCGCGTAGTCCTGCTTTGAGCTTGTCCGACAGAGTCCTCTTCACTGTAGCCACAACCTGCTTGTGGTGCCTCTTGTCGGCTAGAGCTTCCCTTTTCTCCTGCGTCAGAGTTCGTTCGCGTCGCCAGGCACTGCGTAGAAGGCTGGGGGGCAGCTTCAAGATGCCAGCCTCGATGCAGGGCCAACGAAGAGACTCCGGCAGCTCGGACATGTCACATAGATAGTCCTCTTCCGACTCGGCGACAGAGACACCATGGGCAACACCCCAGTCAAGTAGATCTTGGGCAGCAGAAGAGCCCGGGACGAGAGACCAGTCTGGCTCTGGAGGCACACCATCCTCAAGCCACTTGTAGCCATTCTCTAGTAGAGCGAAGCCTCGCAGAGCCCACAGGCATGTCCTCAAATAGAGGCGTCACCTCCTGGCAGCAGGGATGAGAAGCAAGTGAGGGTTTAGGGTTTAGGTTTTAGGGTCGAGGGTTTAATTAATTGGGTTTAGGGTTTAGGGTTTAATTAGGGTTTAGGTTTTAGGGTTCAGGGTTGCCGGTTTAATGAGGGCTGTCCTCAGCAACTCGTAGAGCTCCATTCCAAGGTCTGTAGCACAGCATTGCATTTCTGCGAAGTCCTCGTAGAATCCACTGGTCTCGCTCATTCTGCTGACTCATAGCCCTCTGAGCATGTAGAATGGTCTCTGCGATGTCGTCGAAGCTACATGTCCAGATGGTGCTCTCGCCTTTAGATCTGAGTGCAGACTGCCCCTTAGATCTTCTAGAAGCCATTTCGTTGCGGCATAGCGATTTGAACTTTCTAGAGAAATCCGTGTCGGTCAATTGGACCGACGCCGTGACCTTGGGCCCAACCATCGTCTGAATGGTGTTGCCCACAAAGTGAGCCTCCTGCACAGAGTCACTGAAAGAGGCTCCTAGACAATCGCGTTGAACCAGTAGACTTGGGAAAGTAGAGCTGAGCTCCAGAGCCACCCAGCTCAAGACGATCCCATCCGCGTTCGAACTTGGCTGAGAGTAGACTGAGAGCTCCTTGAAGATGTCCGGCTTGCGCAGTCGTAGAGCTCGCCACGGCTCAAGGAGACGGCCGCAACTCCGACCCTTCTTTCTAGAGACCAGCTTGCCCTTGTAGACAAACTCGTGGTCGCGATTCCAAGTGCCATCGTCGGCGATCCAATCTAGAACCGCGTGGGGTCCTGCGACGATCAGCAGCCCCTTGTAGACAGACCCTACTGGCTCCTCAGTAGAAGCGTAGTTCATCACGATCTGTCTAGCCTCGTAGGTGACACGGAATCTCTCAGATAGAGGCTGCTTTCTAGATCTCAGCTGTTTCTGACCAGAGGCATCTTGCTCGCTAGCAGAGACCACTAGAGCTCCAGAAGCATCAGTAGAAGGCTGGTCTTGCTGTAGACTTGCCCGCAGCTTCTGTCGTAGAGCTTCCTGGCTAGTGGGCTGCGTCTCCCACTCTGCGAAGAGCTCTCTCTCTAGACCAGCCTTGATCCAGAGAGGAATCTGGTCCGCGTAAAAGAGAACCAGATTAGAGCGAGACTGTAGAAACTGCTCCGGCTTAGAGACCCACTTGCCCAACTCCTCAGGTGGAGCTAGAGCTGCAGTCCATAGAGCCCCGTCGTAGGCCTGCCAGGTAAGCTGCACCCTGGCTTGTTCCTCTAGAGGCGACAGCTTGGTGTCTAGATGCGGCTTCAGGTTCTTCGCTCCGACTAGGAGCTTCAGCCGCGATGTTAGAGATTCCCGGTACTTCTTAGAGCTCTCCAGCTTCTTCAGGGTCTGCCGGCCTTCACCGACTGCAGCTAGAGTCTCCCCCTTGACTAGAGGATCCGTGAGGCCTTCGGCTTTGGACTCTAGACCCAGGACATGGTCATGCAAGAAGAGCACGTACCTCTCGTAGAGATCTTGCTGAAGAACTTGGTTGCCTAGACATCGCTGCTCGTTGAACCAGTTCTTTAGATCCTGGCGAACAGACTCGAAGCTAGACCGGCGACCTGCTCCTTGTAGACGACGAAACCCTTTGTACCTCTTCTCGTAGGATGTCTTCTTGACACCCTTCTTCGCAGAAAACTTGACCGGATTCCTAGACAAACGGTGCTTCCTCTGAGTGGCTGTGAGCTCCTGTCTAGACCTCCACCAAGACTTGATCTGCGGAGTAGATCTGTCATACTTCTTCGCAAAATGCCGAAAGAAGTCTGCCTCATCAGCGAAGGTGTGCTCCTGCTCGAGCATGTCTTGTAGCATGCCTGTTTTTGGAGCCACAGGGATGTCCTGTCTAGAGGCCTTTGCAGGCCCCGCTTTCTGAGGACGACCACCTTTCCTCTTGACGGCCGCTACCTCCTCTAGAACAGCAACTGGATCCTCGGCCTTGCTTCGGTCCAGCCTAGACACAGCTTCATCAATGAGTCGCAACGTCTCCTTGCTGAGAGGCCGACCTCTCAAAGGTAGAGTCTTTGGAAGCCACTTGACTGGCTTCAGAGCATCTGGGTGCTGAGGCTGGAAGAACTTGCGTAGAGAAGCTTGCTTCTGACCTGCACGTCTCCGGACTCTAGAAAACCCAAAATTTTCGTGATTCCAAAACCAGAGATTCCTTATTACAAAACCTTTAAAAAACAACCCAAAATCAATCCTTCAAAGGGGGTAGTCTACGGGGGCCCGGAATCCACATTAATCAACCCCCCACAATTATAAAATCCCGTCCGGGAATTTCCAATAATGGCTTTAAGCTCCTTACTAGACACCAATGCAAGATCCAGCTGCCTGTAGACTGCTCAGCTGCCACGACTGCAGCAGCCAAGCCTAGAGAAGGTCCGACCACATGTTGACTAGAAGAAGGCTCTGCCTCTTCTGCACTGGAGATATCCTCCTCCATGGCAGCAAAGACTACTAGAGTCTAGACTGCCTTCACTTCACTTCCAGAAGCAGCAAAACGTGTAGATGGTTGCTGGCAAGCTGCAGGTTTAGGGTTTAAGGTTTAGGGTTTTGGGTTTAGGGTTTAGTTTCAAACACCTCTCTGTGCCGAAGTAGAGGCAGCTACCAAAAGAGGTTTAGGGTTTAAGGCTTAGGGTTCTGGGTTTAGGGTCTAGGGTTTAAGGTTTACTTAAGGTTTAGGGCTTAGGGTTTAGGGTTTAAGGTTTAGGGTCTAGGGTCTAGGGTTTAGGGTTAAGGGTTTGGTCACCGAAGAAGGCTCTTCTTTTCTGGTAGAAGCACCTCTCTGTGCCGAAGTAGAGGCTGCTACTACCAGATGCAGGCACTGCCTCCTCGCAAAAGAGCCACTAGATCAAGTTGGTAGACAAGTAAACTCTTCCCTAGTGTTATCTCTCTCTCTTTTCTCTGTCTCTATAGACAAATGCAAACCTACAGCTAATGGTGGCTCCTTCACTAGAGCTTGTGCTTCCTAGAGGAGCTCAGCTGTAGAAGAGCTCTGTGCCTTTCTAGAGACCTCCAAGGGTCTCAGCTGCCCGTAGAGCCATCCTCTCAGGGTTTAGAGCTTCGGGTCTAGAACACACTGGAAGTTCTCAGGCGGGGGGTTTAGGGTCTAGGATTCAGGGTTTAGGGTTTAGGGTTTAGTTTCGGGTTTGGGGTAGTTAGGGTCAGTACCAGCAGTCCTCGGCGACGGCGGCTAGAGCTGGCCCATGCATCTGCTCCTGAGGGCTTAGACTGTTCAAGGTTTTAAACCCTAAACCCTAAACCCTCATTAGACCCTAAACCCTAAGCCCTAAACCCTGCACCCTACATCACATTAAGGTTCAGAGTTTAGGGTTTCAGGTTAGGGTTTCGGGACCCTCTGTACAGTAGAGACTCCTCGTCGTCGCCATCGCCATTTCCATCGCCCTTCAGGGTTTTAAACCCTAAACCCTAAACCCTCATTAGACCCTAAACCCTAAGCCCTAAACCCTACACCCTAAACCGCATTAAGGTTCAGAGTTTAGGGCTTAATTAAGGTTAGGGTTTAGGGACCCTCTGTAGAGACTCCTGCACCTCCTCGTCGCCATCGCCATCCCCATCGCCCTCCTGTTTAAGGCCCTAAACCCTAAACCCTCCTTAAATAATTAGACCCTTAACCCTAAGCCTTAAACCCTACACCCTAAATCACATTAAGGTTCAGAGTTTAGGGTTTCAGGTTAGGGATTAGGGACCCTCTGTAGAGTAGAGACTCCTGCCCCTCGTTGTGGCCGTCATCTCCATCCTGTTTTTTAACCCTAAACCCTAAACCCTAAGCCAAACTAGTTTCGGGTTTGATTAGGGTTTAGGGTTAGGCTTTAGGGTTTCGGGTGTAATTAGGGTTTGGGGTTTAAGGTTTAGGGGCCCTGTGTAGAGCCTCATCCTCGCCACCGTAGATGTCCGGGGCAATGCACCTGAACCTGAGTTGCTAGACTGCTGCAGACAGCCTAGGGTTTAGGGTTTAGGGTTTAATTAGGGTTTAGGGTTTAGGGTTTAGGGTTTAGGGTTTCGGGTTTTTGCTACAGCCAAGGAGCGTAGGCATGTCGGGAGTTAGATCCAGCCAGACCCCCTCAGAGCATGTGAGCATGTAGAAATGCTATCAACTGCAAGCTTCACATAATTATTCCAAAATAGAGTCCAAGCCACAGTAGTCCACATCTCCGACCAGTAGAGGCCTTTGAACTCGCAGAACCTGAGAAACATCACAACCAGAAGAAATTAGGTCGTTAAATTAGTAATTAGATGCATAACAAATAAGAGCAGCTCCAATATGCAAGCCTAGAAGCTCTGCGTGATACTGTAGATGCGCCCGGATCTTCTGCACGGCGCGATCGCAGTAGAATTGCACAGGGGTGGTTAGATCTCATCTCATTTAGACCACCCATCGTCACGAATGTAGACCTGCTCTACCATATGAGAAAAAATGGTCACCTGGTTTAGGGTTTTGGGGTTTAGGGTTTAATTAGGGTCTAGGGTTTAGGGTTTAGGGTGTTGGGTTTATAATGAGGGCTAGATTGCATCCAAAATACTGCTGCCAGAGCCAGAGTAGAGTCTGCCGAACCTCCCTGGCTTGCTTGATGTCCATTTCCTGCATGCAAAAAAGAAAAAAAAGATCACGATAGTTAAAGCCTAATTGATTAGACCACCCATCCCTTGTGCTTTTTTTGCCTCCCCGTCGGTAGAGCCCCTCACATTGTGGATGAAGGCATAGAGGATGGAGACCGAGAGCTCCAAGGTGATGACATAGCCTTAGTTAGAGATTCCACGCCTTAAGCCCTAAACCCTGAACCCTAATTAAACCTTGAACCCTAAACCCTGCACCCTAAACCCTAAACCCTTAACCCTAAACCCTACACCCTAACTAAAAACTATAATTAGTTACTCAGAGTTTGGGGTTTAGAGGAGCTACCTTCATTACTGCAGATCAGCTGACATAGACCATGCCACCAGGGCTGCTCCTGCCCGGGACAGATGGTAGACATGGCCAGTAGAGCCTCCGTCAGCCACCTTAGTTGGCTGGGTTTAGGTTTGGGGTCTGGGCTTTAGGACTTAATTAGGGCTAAGAGTTTACTTTAGCTAGGTAAACAAGCCCTAATTACAGTAGAAAAAAAAGTTGAGTTACGGCCAAAAGACTCCAGGGCCCTGAACCTTAGAGTCTCCTGAGCTCGGCGTAGTCGGCTCATAGAGTCCCTCTGACGGGAATAGCGACCGATCTGGTAGTAGAGCTCACTTAGATGCAAACAAACAGTTTTACACTTGGTGCTTTGAGGTCTAGACTTTACAATTAATTAATTAGACAAGTAGCTTCTTCAGAGCACCCAGAGTCCTGCGCTGTGCTAGAGTGTGAGGATGAGGAGCCACCATTGTAGCACCTGAGATAATCTTAGGAATTAGACAGAGTCAGAAGAATGCACCTAACCCTAAAACCCTAAACCCTAAACCCTAAACCCTAAACCCTAAACCCTAAACCCCAAGCCCCTAAACCCTAAACTTAATCAGACCCTGAAACCACATAGAACAATGTGCAGAGGAGGCACGAGGTAGAGTGCGAGTAGAAGTGCAGGAGGCAGGGCTTAGAGCTCTTCAGGATGGCTGCAGCAATAGAAAGCTGGGAGTTTAAGGTTTTCGGGGCTAAGGCTTTAGGGTTTAGGGTTCAGGGTTGAGGGCCTTATTAGGGGTTTAGGGTTGAGGGTTGAGGGTTTAGGGGGTCCGCTGATTTTGACGGCGTGTTGGATGGGAAAAGGATCCCTCTTTCCCTCCTTACCCCCCCAAAACGCGGGGGGGGGGGGGGGTTTAGGGGGGGGGGGTCAACACGAGTAAAACTGATGGAGGCAAAGGCGGTTTTCGCACACAACCCCACCACCAACTTCCCCCCCCCCCTTCCCCCCCTCCCCCCTCCCTACCCCCCCCCCACCCCCCCCCCCACCCCCCCCTCACCCCCCCCCACCCCCAACCCCCCCCAACCCCCCCCCCACCCCAAACAGGACCGCAAAAAAAAACATCACCAAACCCCAAACCATTAAACTTGTTCTCCGCTGCGGGCTGGTTGCTGATGTTGAGTTAGCCACTCTTTGTTAAGGACAAGTTGCTGATTGTCAGCATCCATGTGCAAGGCGGACTTCCGCGGGGCTTGATGGGAAAACAATACAGCACTCAATTCCTGAGTTGGACTTCACAAGCGGCTTCGGACGTTCAGGGGGGGTGTTAGGAATGGTTTGAACGAGTTTTTGCAGGATTAGCATGGAATCAGAACATTCAATGTCATTATAATTTAATTCCCAGGATGCAAGGTGCGGTCCAAGTGTTTTCTTCTTCGAATCTATTTCGGACGGGTCACCAAGGTCTAGAATCAACGCCACGGGAAACTTTCAACGGCTTAAAGGTGTGGGTCTGGTGGCTGTGGTCCTCTGCTTGGCACTGTTATTCACCAGTCACGGCTTAGACTCAAGAATTTCCGGGGGTGATATATCTCCGAACCCCAAAGAAGGCGAGACCCCAAAAGCAAACACAGAGAAGAGAGAGAGACGAGACGAGGAGAGAGAGAGACGAGAGAGGAGGAGAGGAGAGAGAGAGAGAGAGAGAGAGAGAGAGAGAGAGAGGGAGAGACAGCGAGAGAGCGAGTGAGAGCGAGAGGAACCCTAGCTTTGAAAGCCTCTTCTTGCAGGTCCTGGCGTGCTGCGTGCTGATGGGGCTTTGGCTCTGCCAGGCCGGGTTGCTCAAACACTTTTCAAGCCTGTCAGCCCTAAACCCTAGAAGCCTCTTCGGGCCGTAGGCCGTAAGCCCTAATGGGGGCTTCGGGCTCCGGGGTTTGCAGAACACCCTGCTCCATTTATGGTGCGCCGCCCCCCGCCCAACTCCCCCTCCCCCCCACCCACCCTCCTTTTCTTGCATATTCATGTTTTTGTGTTAATGCCTCATTGGAAAGGCAAGAGGAGGGGCACACAACATGCCCTGCCATCGTTCCTTCCAACATCGTTTGCCGAGGTCATTGCCTAAAAATAGTTGCCATACGTTTAAGTGTCTGGAGGACGGCCTGTCACAAGTGGCTTTGGTCAGGTTGAGATTCGGCAACCCCATCCCTTGCTGTTCAGGCATCGCAGGAAACGCCGGAGACGACTCTACAGGCCAGCGGCCAGAGTGTGAGCAGGAGGATGTGCTGAGATCGACACGTTTGGATGAGGGAAGATCAATCCCATCTCACCCGATTGATGTCTTGAACTCAACCTGCATCGGCCTGCATCGACCTGCATCCGTCTGCGTCGTCACATCGTCGCATCAGGATGCGCGATCACTGGGCCATTGGCGTAGGGCGGTGGGCGTTCTCGCCGGGTGCCCAGAGAGAGCGCGTGAGCCAGACTTCCGACTTCTTTCCTTGGGATAAACCAGTGTTAGGAATGGTTGAACTAGTTTGCGAGGGATGTACCGGTA